TATCTTGGAGAATGTTCCATGTATGCTTGAGAAGAATTTGTATTCAGCTTTTTGAGGATGAAGTGTCCTGTATATATCTACTATGTCCCTTTCTTCCATTGTTTTCCTCAGATGAAGTATGTCCTTGCTAAGTTTGAGTCTGGTTGATCTATCAACAGGTGACAAAGCGGTGTTGAAGTCTCCCACTAGTATTGTGTTGCTATTGATGTCTTTTTCCAAATCTATGAGTAGTTGTTTTAAGTACTTTGCTGGTCTCTCATTAGGTGCATATACATTTATTATTGTAAGTTCTTCCTGTTGTACAGATCCTTTGATCAATAAGAAATGGCCTTCACTGTCTCTTATGACATCCTTCACTCTGAAATTTATGTGGTCTGATATAAGGATGGCTACCCCAGCTTTTTATGGGAGCTGTTTGCCTGTAGGATTGTTTTCCAGCCTTTGACTCTGAGTCTGTGTTTGCTTTGACTATTGAGATGTGTTTCTTGCAGGCAGCAGAATGTTGGGTTCAATTTTCTAATCCATCCTGCCACTCTATGTCTTTTAATTGGTGCGTTTAGCCCATTGTATAGTCCCCTATTAAACCTTACAGCATAGTTATATAGAAATCATGAAGGGTGGGGATACAAATGTGGGGTTGAACATTACCATAACAACAAAGAGAGTTTATGTAAAGCCACTCCTTCAGGAGATTAACTCAAGGACAAAATCTCATTTAAAGAGATTACTCTAGATTAGTAGAAGGCCTACTTAAGGGCAGGATTCCATCCAGGGTATATTGCTTTCTCCTTTCCTCAGTTATAATCCATTTAAACAGTCATAGTAAATTTGCTTCTCATATTATTTCTAGCACTTCTTATAATATTTCTAGCAATGAATTTTGTATGAACACAGTAAGAGATATATTAAGCTTAAAGGTTGGCTCTTCCTGGGGACATCTCACTCTATATCCCAGACCACAGTCTTCAGGCCAGGTTAGTCTTTCCTAACCCCAGAAGTGCCCTTATTCAGTTATTTCTTTTTGGGTCATGACAGAGTTTGTCCATGACCGTGCTCTTCACTTAAAGTATTATGGTGCTTGGCCTGGTCCATTTTGATGCAAGAGTAGCTCACAGCTTGCCCTGGGTCCATCCAGTCCCTCATCAGGACCCTGCTCTTGGAGTGCTAGGAACTTGGGGCAACTGAGGCTTAACTCAAGTAAATATGCCCAGGAGTAAATATTATTTTGGAGTCAATTAACTCCCATGTTACATAGCATAGAATCAACTGTCTTCCTGTGTCTATACAAAAATGACATTGTTAAATAAACCATGCAAATGACATAAAGAAAAGAGAAAAGCAATATAGGATTATTAATACTTGATGGAATTGGGTGGTCTCGGTTGCGCGTTTGGGGGAGTGGCTCAATAAACCTTAAGATCCCTGCAGAAGGAGCAAGGACAACCCAATGTTATCTAACACTTATCACATCCCACCTCTAATCTTAAAGAGATTCAAAAGGTTTTCAAGTTAATAGCCTTTGGGGGTATGGTGCCGCCAGCAGGTCAATCTGTACCTGTGAGGCGAGTGCATCAGCAGCCTGATGGTGCCTTCAGACTTCCAGATACCCCAAAATTGCTGCTGTGCCTTTGGCCAGACCCCAAAAACTTGGGGCAAAGTTTACCAAGAAAGTAAACAGCCAAAAGTTAGGTATGTGGGAAACATATATATATATTTGTTATATAATTGGAGGCAAGGCCTCTCTGGTTCCTGATTGAACTGCTTAATGGCCATGATCCCAGAAACTCAGAAACGAATCTTGGAAACCAGCGGCTTTAGGTAGAAATGCGTCCGGTCCCTGCAGTAGGTTACCAGTACTGGGCCAACCCAGGTGGGAATAGGTTTCGTGCCTTGGCCTGTTCCCCCTGGCGGCCCAGTGGCCGCCATCCTTCAGAGGCCACTGGATAGTCAGGTTTGGGCCCCCGGTGATGAGACACACAGGGCCTCATGGGATGGGGGTGGAGCCGGGCTTTTCCTCCCCACCCCAACGAGACCCCAAGTCATCATCCACGAACAACCTCTCTGGCTCCTGATCAAGCTGCTTAATGGCCATGATCCCAGAGACTCAGAAACAAATCTCAAAACCCAGTGGCTTTGGGCAGAAATGTGTCTGGACCCCACAGTACGTTACTGTCGCCGGGCCACCCCAGGGAAGAAAGGGTGTTGTCACTCCACCTGCTCCCTCTTGGAGGCTCGGTGGCCATCATCCTTCAGAGGCCATTGGACAGTCAGGCTTGGGCCCACAGCGACGAAACTTGTTGGGCCTCACGGGATGGGGGGGGGAGGGCTGAGCCTGTCCTCCCCTCCCCAACAAGACACCAAGTCATCGCTCACAAATGGCCTCTCTGGCTCCTGATCAAGCTGCTTAATGGTCTTGATCCCAGAGACTCAGGATCAAATCTCGAAACCCAGCGACTTTTGGCAGAAATGTGTCCGGACCCTGCAGTAGGTAACTGTCGCCGGGCCACCCCAGGGGGGAAAGGGTGCTGTCCCTCTGCCTGTTTCCCCCTGGCGGCTCAGTGGCCGCCATCTTCCAGAGGCCATTGGACAGTCAAGCTTGGGCCCGCAGTGACGAAACTTGTTGGGCTTCACGGGATGGGGTGGAGCCGGGCCTGTCCTCCCCACCCCAACAAGACCACAAATCATTGCCCACGAACGGCCTCTCTGGCTCCTGATCAAGCAGCTCAACAGCCATGATCTCATAGACTCAGGAGCAAATCTCGAAACCCCGTGGCTTTTGGCAGAAATCCCTCCAGATTTAAGTGTTAAAATCTCGGAATTTCAAAATCACATGGCCCTACTGCAGCCACACGACATCATATGTTATTCATAACCAGCAATAGAACACAAATTGTCTATTGTTGCCTTTTCAGCATATCTGAGTGTTGGGGTAAAATCTCATAATAATGGTGGGTCTGGAGTCGAAATATTGAATGTGATCAAAGTAGAGAGAGAGTAATGTGGAAATCATCTGCCCCACAGGTGGGAGGAGGGTGTGGGATGGGGGTACACTAGGGTTTTTGGTGGTGGCGAATGGGCACTGGTGAAGGTATGGGTGTTTCATTGTATGACCGAGACTTACACCCAAAAGCTTTGTAACTGCTCTCACGGTGATTCAATAAATAATATTATAAAAAATGAAAAAAAAAGTAAGGTGGAGTTCATGCACGATTTAATCAGGTAATCAGTGGCTGAATAAATAGCAGTACTCCTACAAAATAAAATAAAATAAAATAAAATAGCCTGTGTTGTTTAAGCCACTACCATCTCTCATGTTGATTACTAACATAATCTGTTCTGTTTTCATCTTTTTCCCAGTTTTAAAATCTGTTCTCAATGTAGCAGACAGAACAATCCTTTCCTTGGATAAGGGCAAGAGTTTGAACCACAAACAGCTGCTTTTGTCTAATCCCAACCCTGTGCTTGGAAATTGCTCCTGGAGCTGCTCAGGTGGTGCTCCTGGTAGTGCCTGGGATTGAACCTGGACCTCCTGCATGCAAAACATACACTCAGCCTATTGAGCCATCTGTCTCGTTCTAAAAAATTCTATGTAAAAACATGAGTCAAATCATGGCTTTTCTTCTTTGTTGTTGGTTTTGGGGTCCACATCTGGTACTCAGGGCTTACTCCTAGCTCTGCACTCAGGATCACTGACTCCTGGCAGGCTTAGGGGACCATATGTGGTGCCAGAAATCAAACTAGGGTCAGCAACATACAAGGCATACAACATACAAGACAAGGCAAACGTCTTGCCAACTGTACTCTCTCCAGGAGATGATGGCTTTTCTTTGCTCAAAAATATAATTTCACATCTTATTCAGAGTAAAAGCCAAAAATTCTTATAAAGACCTATGTAATGTACATAATGGACTATATATGATCTGCCCACTCAAACTCCATACTGTTAAGTGTCACCTTTTTTCCATTCTTCCCTTTTGCTCACAGTCCTCCACACTTGTCTCCTTGCTGCTTCCTGAATATACTAGGAATACCTATGGGTCTTTGTATTTCCTGTTTCTTCTACCAGGAATATTCTCCCTCAGGGAGTCACAGGCTTATTTACAACCCTCAGGTCTTCATTTAAATGTCTTTTCAGTGAATTTTGTAATATTTCAACCACTTTCAAACTCCCTAATACTCTTTTCTATTTTATTTTTCCTTTACAATTGTCATTAACATACTATGTTTTAATTTTTTATTGTCTATTTATCTCACTAAAATATAAGTTCTAGAAGAACAGAGGTTTTATTCTGCTGCTCACTGTTATATTCCAATATCTAAAACTATACTTTACTTTTAGCACTCAATAGTTTCTTAGTGAATTTTAAATGTTTCAGGAAATTAGTGGTATAGTAACTTTCCTGCAACTAAAACCTGTCAATTTTATAAATACATAAAAACTGTCTCATAAATTGTGAAACATGACTAAAATAATAATCTAAAAACTATAAAAATACAATTTCTAACATGATAAACTATTGAAATGACCTTACAAAATCAACATAAATTATTTTTTAATCCAAAATATTTTAATAGTAAATTTCAATAATGTGTTCACAGAATTTAGTGGTTACCTTTAAGAATTTGAAAACTTAGCCAAAGTAGTTTTCAAGAGTACAAGAAAATGTAAAAAGAAATCATCTATTTAAGTACTGCTACATGTTCAGGTAGCCTTTTTTCACATTTAGACAAAAATTAAAGATATAAAGAAATTTGGGGGGCCAGAGCAATACTGCAATGGATAGAACATTTGCCTGGCACATGGCAGAACCAGGTTTGATCCCTAGCATCCCAATATGGTCCCTTGAGCTCCATCAGGAGTAATTCCTAAGTGCAGAACCAGAAATAACCCTGAGCATCACTAGATGTGGCCCAAAAAACAAAAATTGCTTATGCAAATATAAAAAGCAGCAATTTCAAAAGTTTGGTTTTGTCGAAAAGAAAAATGTTTTCAAAATTACAAATTTTGTATTATGATAGCATTTAATCATATTGATTTTCTGAAATTAAGCAAACAGCTTTTCAGCTTCCTTCATTTTTTTTTTCCTATCCATTTTAGAAATTACAGCCCAACGGTCCTCCTGCATTTTCCTCATAGTTCCAAACTTCAAAGTAGATCCAGGGGTTGTCAGAGATGAAGAGTTCTGAACGCAAAATAAAATAACATATTTAATTATCAAAATTAAGTCTAGCTTTTTGAAATCTGTTTTCTTAAGTATAATTTAGCCCACCTCCCACAGCCGCCACCATGTTGACTCACCAACATGGCCCTGCCCAACCATTCCGGAATGACTCTCCAAGGAGATCCAAACTAAACAGCCAAAATTCATGGACACACTGGTCCCACCAGGGTGAGAATTCCAGAGTGCCTCAGGAGGTGTGTAGGTCAAGTCCCCACCCTGCAGAAGCCCCAGGAGCTCTGTCCACAAACCACCCCTGCAGTCACTCCAATGGCTCAATTCCACCACTTCACTGATACTCTCTACAAAGACACCAAAGCTTGAAAAATTTTAGGTACTCCTAGTGTTCAGGATGAGAATTTTGGGGTGTTTTCAACTCACTGACCCAGATCATAGATCATATGATCACCTAAAGTGTCTGGACCACGCAGCTGCATTCTTACAGTAGGAGCACACCAAATTTCATGAGAAAGTAGCATAGAAGCCAATTAATCTCAACAAACAAAAACAGTAACACTGAAGGCCCAATTAGCAACAAACATCTTAAACAAGGACTTAACAATTATGTGGTGAGATGTAACAATTTCCACATATTTTCTTTTTCTGAAGTATTTCTGATCATTCCTTTAGTCATTTAGACGCAACAAACAATATGAAACAAATGATTGTGTTCCTGCTAAGGAGAGTTTGGTAAGTGGGGACAGTGGTAGAGGGAAGGTCACTTTGGTAGTGGGATTGGGGTTGGAACACTGAAAGCCTGTAACAAGTGTATTATAAACAACTTTATAAACCACGATGTTTAAAGTATCTTATTTACAATAAATAAAATATAATTTAAAAGCTACCTTTTTTGGTGTTTTGACACAAAGATAAGAAGTTGGTGGATTATTACTCTTGTATAGTTTTTTCAATGTTTCTTCCTCTGATACCATAGTCTTAAAGAAATATACAAAAATACAAGTTAGGGGACAACATTAATATATTATTAAATATATTATCAAAATTTTGTTTACATAGCACACATAAGAAAGACAAGGATGAATCAAGGGAAGAGGATTAAAGGAAATAAGAGAAAGGAAAGTGGAGGCAGAAGTAATAACAAAAAGAGAGAAAAGGTAGACTAAATAAGATAACAAATTAAATCCCAAATTTGCCAAACAAAACAAGCATGAAGAGTATTTTTTCTATTGACAATATTTCAGTTTCAACTTTCTACTATTTTCCTATCTATGTACTCAACTTTGCTTAGCCCTAACATTAAGCATTTATTATCCTATAGAAATTATTGGGCTAATGGTCGATTTATGAGTATTATATTTCTCCCTAGTGTTATGATACACATATAGTATTTTTTATGTCAAACTATTTTAGGCACTTGTACATTTTAATGAGTTTTAAATCTCACAATAGCTTTATTAACTAAGGAAGGATAACCCCTGGCAGTGCTTGAGAACTGCCCTTAGTAGGGCTTGGGAGACTATGTGGTGGGAAATTGAACGGGATTGCCCACTTGCTAAGCAAGAGCCTTAAACCCTGCACTATTTCTCTAGTCTCCAATTATCTTCATTTTAATGATAAAAAAACAAATTCTACAAATACTAAGTAATTTGCCCATCATTGCACACTAGAGTAAGAGCAGGAGGCAATTCTCAAAATCATTAGTAGGTGAATTATAAAAACCCATTATCTTAGATATGGTAAAGGTAAAGGTAAAGGCCCTCCCGTTGATCGTCGATTTGCTTGAGTGGGCCCAGTAACGTCTCCATTGGAGACTTTGTTGTTACTGTGTCTGGCATATCGAATACTCTCGGTAGCTTGCCGGGCTCTCCGAGAGGGGCGGAGGAATCGAACTCGGGTCGGCTATGTTAGCCACTTGTAAGGCGAACGCCCTACCCGCTGTGCTAAAAAAGCAGTATTTCAAAGTATCTTTTCATATTCAATAAAGTCACTGTATTAGATTTTCAAAAATTTCAAAAATGAAAATATTTGAATATTATAAATTCTATAATTTAAAAGTTCAATGAGCTGTCTTTTTATATACACTCAGAACCAACATGTACCAATTACCAGCTTAGAAAAATTCCTTTAAAATCATGATGCAAAATACCATTAAAATTTTATGTAGTGTATGGGGCTGGAGTGGTAATTTAGCGAGTACAACATTTGCTCTGCATGCAGTCAACCGGGTTTGATTTCCAGCATCCCATATGGTACTCTGAGCACCACTAGGGTGATTCTTGAGTGCAGAGCCAGAGATATCCCCTGAATATCACCAGGAGTGACCCAAGAAGCAAAAAAAAAAAAATTATGTAGTGCACAGTAGTTCTATAGTTCTGTAATTCATTAATAACTGCTTTCATGAAAATAGCTAATAATAATAATAATAACAGCTAATAAGTTAAACACTTCAGAACTACTAAACTTTATCTAGCCTTATACCTTCTGCATCTTTTCTTTTGGACAAATGGCTACTCAAGTCCTCTGCTTATTTTTAAACTGGTTGTTTCTGTTGTGCGTCTGCTAAGTCAAATTCTTGACCCAATTTCTTGCCTTTTTGATGGGAGATATTCTCACATGTATATTATTATATTTCATTATTTTTATCCAAATTTCTGTGATAATAGATGATGATAATTCTTTTCATATGCCATCCGTATGTTTTCTTTTGTGAAGTTCTTTTCTGATTTTTTTGGATGGGTTTCTTATTGTAGTGCTATTTACAACAGTAAAGATATGAAAACAATCCTAATGCTCAGCAATAGATGCATGGAAAAAGAAAATGAGGAACAGGGGCCAGAAAGAGCACAGGAATTAAGAAGCTTGCTTTGCATGCAGCTAAATCCTATTAAAATCCCTGCACCACACTGTCCACTGAGCGTTATAAGGAGAAACCTATCAGCAGAAAGCCAAGAGCAGCCCCTGAGCATTTTCTGAGTAGGATCTACTCCCCGAAAGAAAATGCAGCATTCAGACATAGTGTAACACTACTCATTCACAATAAGACACAATTTTGCATTTTGCAATAATATGGGTAGACTTGTCAGGTGTCATGCTGAGTCACTTGATCACTTGATCACTTAACATCCAGTTACTCATCGATTTGCTTGAGTGGGCGCCAGTAATGTCTCTATTTGTCCCCGTCACGTGCTAGTGTAGCCCAATGTCATCTGCTCATTCTAGGAACACAAAGAGCCTCAAACCGATCTTTCAGGGTCTTGATGAAAAAGTCTGACCATCTTGTAGGTGGGTGGCCATGCGGTCTTTTGATGTCCCGTGGAATCCAGTTGGTAACGGCTCTTGTCCAGCGATCATCTCGAAATCTCACTATGTGTCCAGCCCATCTGATTTTCGATGCCTTGGCAAATGAGACAGCATCCCTGATTCTTGATCTTCGACGGATTCTTTCCCTCATTTCAGTGAAACATGATACTCCAAGCATAGCTCTTTCGATTCCTCTTTGGGAGACCCGAATAGCGTTCTCATCCTATTTTTGTAGGGCCCAGGTCTCTGAGGTGTATGTTAATGCAGGAAGAACAATGGAATCAAAGAGATGTGCCTGGAGCCGGAGGTGCTTCATCCTCTTAGCTATTTCTTCGATGCTCTTGGAAGGTGTTCCAAACTGCTCTCTTACCCCTGTGCAAGTCAGGTGCCAGGTCATTCATCATGTTGACTTCTTGACCTAGGTACACATAACTGTTGCATTCAGAGATGGTTGTTCCATTGAGAGCGAATGGAACATCAGGAACAAGACTGTTTCTCATAAACATGGTCTTTGTAAGATTCAGCTGGAGTCCGACCTTTCCACACTCACGGTCGAAGTCGGCCAGCATTTGTGGTCCTTGGCTAATGTTTGGTGTTATTAGAACGATGTCATCAGAAAAGAGGAGGTGGTGTAGTTGCAGACCGTCTATCTTCACACCCACTCCTTCCCATTCCAGTCGTCACATGACATTCTCAAGGGTGGCACTGAAGAGTTTCGGTGAAATGGTATCATCCTGCCGAACCCCTCTCTTGACATCAATGATCACTTCCCTGTAGAATAGTGAGATCCTGGTAGTGAATCTGCAATACAGTTCATGGAGGGTCCTGATGTATTGAGTATGAACGCCCTGTTTGGCTAGGGTTCGTTGACCACTTCAATCCAAACAACAGAATCAAAGGCCTTCTTTAAATCAATGTACTTTAGACAGAGTGACATCTTGAACTCCCGAGAAACCTCAATGAGTTTGGTTATCATGTGGATATGGTCGATCATGCTGAATCTTTTTCGGAACCTGGCTTGCTCTTATGGTTACCCTTCATCTAGTGTTCTGTCAATCCTATTCAGGATGACTCAAGTGAACAGCTTGTAGACGACAAACAACAGGCAGATCGGGCGTTAGTTGCCAATGTTGTGGATATCTCCCTTCTCGTACAATAGTACAGTCCTGCTGGTTTTCCATTGGGACGGAACCTTGCATTCAGACAGGTAACATGTAAAGAGCCGAGCCAGTGTACTGATGAGTACAGATGCCAGGTTTCAGGTGTTCAGTCTGACCTTGTCTGGGCCAGGTGCTGTTCGTTTTTTAACCAGTGAAATGGCATGTCGGATTTCGGAAGGGAAGATGTTAGGAACGACATATCCATCCTGCGGAATTTGGTATGTGGGCAGGTGGACGTGGCTATCAAAGAGATCAGAGTAGAAGTCATGGATAATCTTCTTCATTGCCCATCTGGAAGATGTGATAGATCCATCAGGACGTCGAAGGGCAGTCATCTTGGTCTTGTAGTTGGCAAAGGACAGGCAGGCGATGCGAATGCTTTTTCCCGGCTTCTGCCACATCTACCAGCACTGCTGCTCTTCTCTCTTTGAGGTCTTCCTTTATAGCTTCTCTGCACTGCTTTGTGAGCTCGGACATTTGCTTGTGCTTGCCTGAGGCTTGCGCCAAGCCACGTTGTCGAATAAGCTCAGGAGTTTTTGAAGACAGGTGTATTTTTGTGGCTATCTCTCTCTTGGCATTCCTCGCACAATCATGGAGGTGCTGAACCAGTCAATCGTATTCCTCATCAATGTTGTCAATGACGGCATCTTCCCATGTTGCTGCAATAGTGCCAAAGAGCTCCCAGTTGGTGGTCATTCTAGAAGTCTCTTCTTAAACTTTGCAGCCCTTTCTCCCCGCTCCGTGAAGTAGAATTTTGCAGGAAGAAAACGGTGGCCCGATCCCGTTTGGAATTTTACAAAAGGAATGCAAAAGGAAAAGGAGCATGGCAGTCTGCCACAGTGCTTTGGATTCAGTGATAGGTTGCTATTACCACGTTTAAGGACAAAATCAACCAAATTAACCTAATTTACCAGTCAAAGCTTCCCTCAGAAGTTTAATCACCATCATTCTAAAATAGTTACTTCAATTTCTTCTAGAATAATTATTATCTAAGTAGAAAATGAATTCCTGGCACTTTTTTTTTCACTACCATATTCCACAAGGCTCTAGATCAGGACTTCTTCCATTTTTCCTAGTCACTCCCTTTTTTTGTTGCTTTTTATTTTTGGATCACAGCCAATGATGCTCAGGGCTTACTCCTGGCTAGGTGCTCAAAAACCACTCCTGGTGCAGTTGGGGGAACCATATGGGGTACCAAGTATAAACCTGGGACAGTCAAGTGCAAGGAAAGTACCCTACCCAGTATACTTTGCTCCCACCCCTCACAATCCCTTTTGATCCAAGAAATGGAGAGTATTGCCAGAAATATCTCAGATTCATTATGTATTTGATTTTTAATTAATTTTTCATCATGCATACCGTTGCCAAAATTTTTACAACTCTCACACACAACCACTAAATCGGAGTCACAACCGACAGTTTAAGCAACTATTTTTAAATCAGATCACCATTTTTATGTCTTTTATAATAATCTGAACTTTCTCTAAAAGTTAAATACAATAGATAAGAAAATTATAAAAACTAATAACTTCACCTGATAATTATAGCTAGCAAAATCCACTATGAAATGTATTTTAGACCTAACAACTGTGTGAATTTTATAATAAGGCAACACATCCATTATGCTGTAAAGTTGTGATTCTTTTAAACAATGAAATAATATCATTCTGAACTGCCAGCAGCTAAGAAACTAAGTTTCTCATCACTTCATGTCAACCACATGTTTTTCAAAATACCATACTAAGATAACAGACTGAACCTAATTTTCTAAAAAGCTAGAAAAGCATTGAATTCTGTATCACAGAATCTTACTGTACATACACATCAAGTAATAATTTAGATATAAAATAATACAAATAAACGTGGATAATTTGTAATATCTTTACCAAAAGATCAGTAGTTTCTGAACTATCTGAATTAAGATCAAATTCGAAGACCATTTTTCTCTTTTTATTATTTTCTTCAACGGGTATATTCTTCTTATCTCGTTGGTGAATTTCTACTTTTGTTGGTGTCTTCACAGTAAATGTCTTTAAAAAATACATAAGCCCATCAAATCAACATTTATGATTAATAAAAACAATTTGAGTCTTCAGCAAGCACTAACTCTCCAATATTATCGGCAGGTATATAAATCTGAGTTTGGGAATTAAATGCAGATTCTTCTAATACCAAAATTTTTATAATTTTTTTCAAAAATTTACAGTAATAGATTTTCTTTGTCCTTTACTTGAGAAAATGAGTAGAGGGAGAGTGCAGGACTACAACTACAGTAGTTAAAAATCTTAAGAGTGGGGCTATAGCAATAGCACAGCAGGCAGGGCATTTGCCTTGCAAACGGCAAGTGCGGGTTTGAGTCCCAGCATCCTGTATGGTCCCCCGAGCACTGCCAGGAGTAATTCTTGAGTGAATGAACCAGGAGTAACCCCTGTGCATCGCTGGGTGTGACCCAAAAAGAAAAAAAAATCTTAAGAGCTTAAAATTTTTTCTAACCATGATTCAGAGCAAAGAACTGAGTGACTACTGCTCACTCTACCAAAATCTTTGATTTTTGATAAAACAGGTTCACTCAAAATTTGTTTACAAAGCTATTCTCGTTAACTAATGTTTAATATCAATATCTCATATTATCTTTTATTTTGGGAGTGGATGGGGGCCACAACTGGCTGTGCTCAGGTCTTATCCTGACTCTGTGCTCAGGGATTAGTCCTGGTTGGGCTAGAGGGACCATATGAGGTGCCAGGGATGGAACCCAGGTCAACATATGCAAGGCAATCGCCTAATCGACTGTGCTATTGCTCTGGTCCCTATTCAGTTTTTCTTTAACAGCTTCAACTTTGGGGGGGGGGGGGGGGAGGGTCACACCCAATGATGCACAGGGGTTACTCCTGGTTCTGCACTCAGGAATTACCTATCCCTGGCGGTGCCCAGGGAACCATATGGGATGCTGGGAATCGAACCTGGGTCAGCCGCGTGCAAGGCAAATGCCCTACCCGCGGTGCTATTGCTCCAGCCCATGGCTTAAACTTTATAAGAATAGAAAGTGTTTCATTGTCTTGCCCTCCTCTCCAGCAATATATATTAATAGAAATGAACAAAATCTGAGAGCTTTATTTCCAAAAATAAATACTTTTTTTTAAAGTATTTTTAAAAAATCTTACTTTCTGGGTTTTTTTTAAGTTATCTGTATTTGATTCAGAGCTTACTCAGTATAAATTTTTTTTCTCTTTGGTGTGTATAGGATGGCAGGTACAATTTGTCAAAAATAATTACAGGAAAGTGGTTTAAACTGTGCAGCTTTCTGAAATAAACCTTAACAATTTGGTCAAATGACACACTAACCAACAGCTCTCAAAGCACAACAAGAAAATGAAATATTCATCCACAGGAAAAATTAAAATATTTTGACATATTTCTAGAAATTAAAAACCACAGGCTTTTATCCTGCTCAGGGGCATCGAGGGTGCACAGACAGCACACACTGCAACCACAGCTTCCACTCCCCAGCAAGCTTGGCACATCCCTGGTGGCAGCACCAAGTGGTCCAGATTACCACAGTGAAACCAGCAGGAAGCAAGGGAAGTCTGAGCAAGGAGAATGCCAGAAGTAGAACATCTTCAACTACTATTTATCATGGAAAGATTGTATGAGTTGCACCTGGCTTAAGTAGATGGACTATAGCTACTACAGCTAGAACTAAATCACCTTGCTAATAGCAGAGATCAACTGATAAAGGACTCCATAAGCAAGACGATGTAAAGATACAGTAAAGGGAAGTACCTGAGTTAAAATTGAAAAATAACCAGATAATGGTTAAAAAAAAAAAAACCCTATGGGTTGGTGAAAGCTTACACTGGTAACACCAAAGTTACAAAATGTGCCTAAGATAATATTAAGTTATGGACAGTGACAGAAAAATGAAACTATTTCATACTACTATCACAAAAAATGAAACCTTCAAGAAAGGGGATCTATATCTATCTGTGGTATCAGATATATGACATATGATTATAAGAACCTTTTTCATTGGAAAACACTACTTCTTTCTTAGAAATTTTAGCAACCAACCTTTGGTAATGGAGAGGATAAACTATTTTTGGCAGATGTCCTGAGAGAGTCTCTTTTATCTTTGGACCTCCCATAACCAGCTGATGTGAGGTTTCGCTGTGTATTTTGTGAAGAAGTAATTTTAGAATCAATTTTCTGCTGACTCATTTCAGGTGTTTCCAATACAGATGTCTGCGTTCTCTACATTGAATGATGAAAGTGAATAAAATCATCATTAAGTATAATTATAAAGTGAAGAAACTATTGTAAATGACACTGGACAGGGCTGGAGAGAGGGTACACTGTGTAAGGCACATGCAGCCACTGGGGTTGGATCCCCAACATCATATCTGGTCCTTGGGTACAACCAGCAGCAATCTCCAAATACAGAACCAGGAGGATACCCTGAACACAACCAGGTATGGCCCAAAAACTAATTTGTAATGAATTACTTATTTTCTTTGTCACTTTATTTTCCCCTTTAAAATGAAAACAGTATCTGGCCTACTGTCTTCTCACAATCACTATGAGAATAAATAAAACAATTCAACTCTATGTGGCCAAAAGTTGCAGATTATCGAAATAAATATGCCTTTTCCCTAAATACCTCAACATCATTACTGGTAACATTATTCTTTATGAAAGCAAATTTTCTTCTGCTCTGGATTTATTTGAATCACCCTCTGTGTCCAAACATTCCTGGACAACTCCCCCCAAACCCTGCAAAACTGAGAATTACAACTATACCACCTTGTGGCTATGTGGGGTTTTTTGTTTGGTTTTTTGTTTTTTAGTGAAGCATGGTAGATTTAATTAAAACTTATTTAGAAAAATATGAGTAGAAAAAAAGAGAGGGAGTACATATTAAAGAGAGAACAGGGGCTTCTCCAGAATACAAACAGTTCCTTGCAACTATAATATTTCCCTGGTAATCAACAAGAAAATAAAACTCTGGTGACCAAAAAACCAAAACCAAAACCAAAATCCAAAAAATAACCTCTATTCTAGAAAATTAAATACCTTCTTCAGAATAAATCATAAAAATAATATACTCCAACAAAGTGTGTTCCTCCTGAATGTATATTTTGGAGTATATTCTAAAGTATCTTCTTTTCTAGGAATGTATATAAAGAAAACACTGATACTTTTCACTATTGTATTACTATTTATTTTGTTTAGATGCCACACTCAGTAGTTCTCAGGGCTTACTCTTGACTCTGTGCGCAAGGATCATTCTGGGACATGCACAGGGGACCTCTGTAGTATCAAAGATTCACTTTAAACTCTCTACGATCTTTCTGGTTCCTCTGTTGTATTTTTCAACAATAGCATTTCCTATGTGCCAAGCATATTAAAAATATTATCTTATTTAATCCCCATAGCAACTCCAGGAAGTAGGTGCTATTATCAATTTATAGATGGGGAAACTGATTCATGAAGAAGTAACTTTCTGAATTCCAGAAATGTTTAAATCCAATCATTATAGAGAAGGCATGTGATATTTCAATACTGTTAGGAAAAAGTACAGCAAAAAAGCCCATTTAAAATTTTTATTTCTTTTATAATCTTTGTATAACCTGTAATATAGATCTTCTGACTTTCAGAAAAAAACATAGAGCAGTTATTAATTAATCAAATGAACGATGGCCATGTATTCTAAAATTATATATAAATCCAAAAAATGTACTATTTACATTCATAATATGAGTGCATTCTATATTTAGAAATAAGTACTGGTATTAAATCATCAGATACTTCCCTTAAACCATAACAAATGCCAATTTCTAATTTTAATATATTCGTTTTTCCAAATATATATTTCCAGTTGTCTTGTAGAGTGTAAGACATTATGAAGCACTCAAAGTTTACTCACAACTGTATTTCTTTCCTTCTCTTTCTTTGAACTCAAATGTAGCAAAACTGTTTCATCAACATCTGTAACAGGATCTTAGATAAAGTCACTGTATATACAGAATATTTAATTTCAGAATATACAGTATATACAGAATATGCAATTTCAACTAAATGTGAAATTACAGTTTTGTAAAAATCCTAGAATATCAAATGTATTAGAAGATGAGGGGTAACCCTCTCCTTACATCTATATGGAAATCACCACTAGGTAATAGTGGTAATAGATAATCTATTTTCTGCTTTCGTAAGGAAGAAAAATGTTTTCTTGTGAAAGCATTTGGAGAGAGACAATGGGCACATGGAGTCTAGCTCCCTCTTTACTCCTAAGGTGCCAGAAAGAATCAAATATTCTTCTGCTCCTTTGTGCCTTACATATTATAAAAGTTGGCTATCAAATGGGTACACTTGTTCCTGTCTAGCTCTGTCTATGACAAAGGCAAATTTGTCTAATTCTGGAATGTGATATAAAAAAAACCCTCTTACCTTAAAATACAAGCCACATTTTTCAATATTGTCAATAAAATGCTATTTATTTTTGGTTTTGATGTTTCTCAGGGCTGTCACCTGTTTCTATGCTCAGGGATTACTCTTGGTAGTGCTTAGGGAACCATATGAGGTAAAGGGGATTAAACCTAGGGCAAGCACTTTAAAAAAAATTTTTTTTTATTGAAGGTAAGCTGTACCATCTCTTTAATGCCAAAGGCATTATTTTAGCTCTCAATGTCTTCCTTAATTGGTTCAGACTTAAGTGAGGAAAGCAGGATGTTATTTATATAGCTCTCAAAAAAAATACCAAAATTAGACATATTTTTTTAGCATTGAATATTTCTCAAGAGAAAAAGGAGTTGCTAATTTAATATTAAGCTATAAATTATAGATGATTAAAATTGTTCTAAAACTATGAGAAATACTTTAAAAGTTTTAGATAATTCTTTTTAATAAACAATAAAAATTTAGATAATAAAGTTGTGTGATATGTCTTATACACTATCTTCTTATTTAGGAGTAAATTTTTTTCTATGTATATGTTAGAAAAATGATTGAATATTCATAGAGATAAATTTAGCAGGAATTAACAAAATAACCAACCTACATACTCTTCAAGATAGCAATTCCACTTTTAAGTTTATTATGTGAAATAAATAAATCTACATGTTTACAAAATGACTTATGTGCAAGAGCTTTGATTGCTATTTTGTAAAGACAAAGTCTGGATGGGGACTAATTAGTTAAACCCCTTCCATGAAATACCATAGTTGTAAAACGTATGAAAACTTCATATTGTGATATAAAATTATTTCTAAGATTTGTTTTTAGGGTAAAGAGGTGCGGGGGGGGGGGGGGCAGAGAGATAGTACAAAGGGTAGGGTGTTTGCTGTGCACCAGACAGGTTTGATTCCCAGCACCTCATATAGTCTCCAAGTTCACGAGGAGCTTAGAGTCAGGAGGAAGCCGAGCACCACTGAGTGTGGCAAAACAAACAAACAAACAAACACTGCTCACCATTATGTAGTCTATGCAGATATTTGTGTAAAAAATAAACAACAGGTGGTATGGTGCCACCAGCAGGTCAATCTGTACCTGCAGGGCGAGTGCATCAGCAGTCTGATGGTGCCATCAGGCTTCCTGATACCAAAAACTGCCACTGTGCTTATGCCCAGACCCAAACAATTTGGGACCAAGTTTACCAAGAAATTAAACAGCCAAAATTTAGTTTGTGGGAGCCATGCCCACAAACCACCTCAGGCTCAGCTATACAAGCTCATTTATTGGCCTTATTTCAGAGACCCATAGATAAATCTTGAAAGACATCAAAAGCCACAGTTAATCTCGGACCTGTGCATGACTAAACAGACTGCGGTAAATTGGAGTGGGGGGGGGGGGGGAGTGAGCGGGTTGGACTAATGGCCCACCCAAGCAGAGCCCCTAGCAGTCACTTGCTTCCACAATCATAAATCACTGCCATACCCCAAGCCTGACTCCACCATCTCAGGACATACCTCCCCAAGATATAATCTGCTGAAAATTCTGGTATGCGGGTTTTGTGACTGAAATCTCCAGGCTTTCTCAGAGTTGGGGTGGGCTATCTCCCCCCACTTCTCAATTCACATGGAAGCACTGGCAGTCCCCCTGACGACCCAACTCCAGTCCCACCATGTAAGTTCTACTGTCGGCCTTGCTTCAGAGACCCATAAATAAATCTCGAAAAAGAACAAAAGCTGCAGTTAAAGCTTGGATCCATGCATGGCTGAACAGACTGGGGTAAATGGGGGGGGGGGGGGGAGGGTTAACCTGTGCCCGCCCAAGCAAAGCCTCCAACAGCCACTTGCTTCCACAATCCAAAATCACCACCATACCCCCAGAATGAACCTCACCAAGATATAATCTTCTGAAAATTTTGTAATATGTATCTTAGCACACCAACAGCCCTGGCCCAGAGACACAGCAGCAAGGTTCCGGAAGACATCACAGCACCAGAGATCTCTCCAGGTCCCATACCGGGCCAATTTCACAGGGGCACCCCAGATGGAGCAGGTGCAGTCTCCCCACCTACTCCAGATGGAATCCCAGTGACCAAAGAGCTTCCACAAGCAAGGTCCAGGTATTCAGGTTCCAGGACTAAATCTCCAGGCCACAGAGGATAAGAAGTTATCACAGGTGCCATCTTAGCACACCAACAGCCCTCGCTCAGAGACTCCCAATTGAATCCCAAAATGGATCAGTGCCATACAGAGATGTCTCTAGAACCCGACCATTTACAATCTAGAAATTTACATTTACAATCATGGCTGTGCAAGCTCTCATGATATTCAAAATGAGCAATGGAAAATAAATTATCTCACGCCTTTAGAAAAAAAGAAAAGAAAAGAAAAGAAACAACAATAATAAAGGAAAAACACATTGCCTACAATGCACAGAACTGGATGTTAGGGACAAGTGGGAAGGAAACAACTTCCATAATACTCTACCCTAGTCTATAACACAATTCCTATTCAAAATTAATTAACAAAAAGTAGAAGTCAATTGGTTATCAAGAAATACTATGAGAGGGCTGGAGCAATAGCACAGTGGGTAGGGTGTTTGCCTTGCATGCAGCCAACCCGGGTTCGATTCCCAGCATCCCATATGGTCCCCCAAGCACCGCCAGGAGTAATTCCTGAGTGCATGAGCCAGGAGTAACCCCTGTGCAACGTTGGGTGTGACCAAAAAAGAAAAAAAAAAAGAAATACTATGAGAATTATAAAAAACTCTTACCTTGTCTTTTTTTTCTTTGAGAGTAATTGAATTTTCTTCTGCCTCTTTTTTGAGTTTTTCCTATTAAAAAGTTATTATGAAACACATACACATTATTGTTTGAATAAATAAATATTCCTATTATTAAAATATGTCATAAAATAGCTTTGACTGGCCTCTAAATCTTAATATTAAAAATAGTTCTTTTCAATAGAGGTATTTATTTGGCTTTGCATTTTTAAAATTCCAACCTAATACTAATGTTTGTAAAATCTTGTATAAGTCCTTTAAAACTCTGAATCTCAAGTTTCTCATTTGTAAAATGAAGTGAATGAACCAGATTTTAAAGTATTGGATAAAAATTAGTGTAAGAACTAAATGTAAAGGGGCTATGAAACCATGAAATATGTTGGGAAGTTGATTTTATCACAGTCCACAAAGTCAACTTATTTTACTTGGAAACTGAAGCATACCAACCAATTGCAAGATGCCACAGATAAACAGACAGTATCTATTGATTGCTGTCAAGTGTGAGAACTAAGAAAACATAAAGTATGAGCTGAATCTTTGTAAACAGAACGCTCAAGTTAAATAGAGGAACAGATGCTGGCAAACGAAGTTCCCTACTACAGTACAACCAAGAATCAAATTAAATGACAGAAAAAGCATCACTGAGGCTAGTCTGAGTTGCCTGGGAGATATATACATTCATTTATCTGAAGGTGAGTGATAACAGCAATGGGGAGAGAGTGCACTGGAAGAAGCGCACTGGAGTAAATCTGGGGATAAATCCAGAGAGGTACATATCAGTTACCATAACTGCCAGCACACCTGACCCAGTAAAAGGGAAAAGGATTATAGAAATAATTGTGCACCTCCTTGTTCTGACAGAGGTGACAGACTGCACTGCTGTCAGAAGTCAAGTGCAGGTGGAAGGGAGGCGGGGGGAAATCAAAGAAAAAACCTAAAACACTACATTCTGGTGAGTTAAGCTAGTTTCCCTCCCCTCTCTATTAGGGAATGCAGAAACCATTGAACAGTAGCCCAAAGACAGTCTACAGAAAACTGTTGGCAGAAATAAAGGACAAAAGTGCTACTAAAGATCTAGGGGCAGTTTAGAAATATCATTCAGAACTCCCCTTCCCCTCCCCCACCCCAATAATGTGCTGATGTGTTTTTAGAGGGTTTTCTTAACACTATAATGTTCCCCGAGGCCTCAAGGTTATTAAAAAATTTTTTAAATCAAACACTAGAGCTACAGTGCCATCTGCAGGAAAATGAGAAAAGTTAATTCTGACCACTGCAAAAATAAGATGGAATTAATCAATGAAAATAAGTTTCCAGAGGGTGAATTTAAAGACGCAAAATGACTTTATCTCTCCTAACAGCTGCACAGTATTCCATTGTGTAGATGTACCAAAGTTTCTTTAACCAGTCATCTGTTCTAGGGTACTTGGGTTGTTTCTAGATTTTGGCTATTGTGAACAGTGCTGCAATGAACATATAGGTACAGATGTAATTTCTACTATGTTTTTTTGCATCCTCGGGATACATTCCCAGAAGTGGTATTGTGAGGTCACATGAAAGCTCAATTTCTAGTTTTTGAAGGACTGTCCATATTGTTTTCTAGAAAGGCTGGACTAGTGGGCATTCCCACCAACAGTGAAAGAGTGTCCCTTTTCCCCACATCCACGCCAGCACTGGTTGCTTTTGTTCTTTTGAATGTGTGTCAGTCTCTGTGAGATGAGACACACACTCAACTCTGTGAGTGAGATCATACCTCATTGTTGTTTTGATTTGCATCTCCCTGATGGCTAGTGATGTGGAGTCATGAAATTTGCATTTCCCTGATGGCTAGCGATGTGAAGACATGAAATTTGCTTATAAATGGATAGACATGGAGAGTATCATGCTAAGTGAAATGAGTAGGAAAGAGAAGGACAGACATAGAAGGACTGCACTCATTTGTGGAGTATAAAACAACATAACATGAGGCTGACTCCTAAGGATAGTAGATACACCGGACAGGAAGACTGCCCCATAGCTGGAAGTCTGCCTCATGAGCAAAGGGGAGAAGGCAGCTGGAATAGAGAAGGGATCGCTAAGAAAATGATGGCTTGAGGAACCAGTCGGGATGGGAGATGTGTGCTAAAAGTAGATAAAGGACCAAACATGATAACCTCTCATTACAAACCATAATGACCAAAAGTAGAGAGAGAGTATGGGGAATATTGCCTGCATGGAGGCAGAGGGAGGGAGGGAAAGGAGGGAATGGGGGGTATACCGGGGATATTGGTGGTGGGGAATGTGCACTGGTGGAGGGATGGGTGTTTGATCATTGTGTGATTATAACCCAAACATGAAAACTTGTAACTATCTCATGGTGATTCAATAAATTTTTTTAAAAAGACGCAAAATGGAAGGATTTAACATGGAACAAGAATCATCACTGCAATAAAAGTTATAAAATCTTAATTAAACACATAGCATAAGTCCAAGATATGAGGGCTATCCAAACACAAAAGTTTCTTTACCACAATGATGGAGGGAAGGTCACAGTGCTGATGGGATTGAGACTGGAATATCAAATGCATAAAACAAATGCATCATTAATAACAACATCATGGAAAACCATGGTGTTTAAATAAAATGGAAAAAATTTCTTCACCAAATAGATGTAAGATACTAAAAAAAATTTAAGAGATACTGGATATGAATAGCACATTGGAATAAATTCAATAGAACATGAAAACCTAACATGTAAATCTCATCGATTTGCTCGAGAAGGCCCAGTAACATTGTGAGACTTGTTACTGTGTTTGGCATATCCAATATATCACGGGTAGCTTGCCAGGCTCTGCCGTGCGGGCAAGATACTCTCGGTAGCTTGCCGGGCTCTCCGAGAGGGGTGGAGGAATCGAACTCGGGTCGGCCATGTTGGCTGCATGCAAGGCAAACACCCTACCGCTGTGCTATCGGTCCAGCCCGTAAATCTCATAGGGGACAAAAATATCAGAAATTTAAGATTAAATCTACAATGCCTCAAGTTAAAGAGGGAAACAGACTCAAGAAAAAATTGGAAATCTTAGAAAAGTAAATATCGAATTATGTTGGCAAAGAGAGAAAAGAGCAGAGACCATAATCGAAGAAATATAGCTAAGAATTTCCGAAAATTTTGTTTGGGGCCACACCCAACAGTGCTCAGGGCTTACTCAAGGATCTGTGCTCAGGAATCACTCCTGGCAAAGCTCAGAAGACCATTCGGGGTGCCTGGAACTGAATCCAGATAGGTTGCATGTTAGGCCAGCACCCTATGCACTTCAGCCTCAAATGTTGTTTGCTTGTTTTGGTTTTAATTCTGGGTAGGGAAGCACACTCAGAAGTGCACAGGACTTACTCCTAATTCTGTGCTCAGGAATCACTCCTAGTGGGGCTCAGCAGTGAGGAGGTATATGGAGTGTTTGGGGATCAAACCCAGGTCAATCACATGCAAAGCAGGTACCTTACCACTGGACTATGGCCCTGGCCCCCAAACTTTAAAAAAAGAGCTATAGACGTATAAGAAGCTGAGAGAATTCCCAAAATTTTTTTAATTCAAAATTACCTACACAAAGAAATCTCACTGCATTGGACCCGGGCTGGATCCCTGACACCATGTGGTCTCTCCAGTACAATCACATGGCCTCCCAAGCATTGGGAGTTTGGGTCACTTGGCCCCTGAGCCCTGGTAACAGCAACACCATATCCTCAGGCCCTAACGACCACCATCCTGATTAGTCAACTATCACAGGGAATTGACGTAGGATTCCTGAGCACTGCTTGGAAGGTGTCCTTTCTCTACCCCTCCAAAAAATGAAAGGTTTCCAGAAAAAAATGAAATATGATTTTAAAAAATTAGGGGTTGAAGAAATAGTGCAAGGGTTAAGGTTTGCACATACTGTCCTCCCAGTTCAATCTTGGACACTGCATATGGTCTCTTTAGTACCTTCAAGAATGACCCCTGAAGGGCTAGAGCAATAGCACAGCAGGTAGGGCATTTGCCTTGCATTGAACTCGGGTTCAATTCCCAGCATCCCATATGGTCCCCTGAGCACTACCAGGGGTAATTCCTGAGTGCAGAGCCAGGAGTAATCCCTGTGCATCGCTGGGTGTGACCCAAAAAGCAAAAAAATAAAAAAAAAAGAATGACCCCTGAGCAACAAGCTAGTAGTAGATTCTGAGCACTACATTTGGTGGTGGATCCCACCAAATGATGAAAAAATGCATCATCAAAGTTAACAGAGTTTATCATTTATCAGACCTGCTCTAAGAGAAAACTCTCCACATAAAAAGTAGAGATAAATAGGGGGTTAAAAAAAAATAAAACAAAATATAAAATGCAGGCTAAAAAAACATAAAATGCAGGTATATATATTTTTTATATCCTAAATGTGAATGGTACAAACTCACTAATCAAAAGGCACAGTGTGGAAAGATAATATTAAAAACTTAGTATGAGACCAAAACTCAAGGATAATAGAAACATGGACCAAGAGGACTGGACCAAGGCGAGATGAATATTTTAAAAAGGGATGGAGGATCCATATATACCATGCATATAAAATATTCACACCACATATAAAAGACAAAAAAGGTGGTCAAAGTTAAAGACAAATGCAAGGTATTCCTAGTCCATAATGCAGAAAAAAAACACAGAAACTTCTATTGTTATACAAGATTTTAAAGTTTTAACTAAAAATGGCAATGAAACAAAAAGATATTATATATGGATCACAGAATCAATTCAGCAGGAAGATATAATGGTCATCAAATATATGCAGAAATCTCTCCAGACCTAATTATTAAAATTTTAGAATTCCAAGATTACACGGCCACAATCATATGCTATTCATGATCAGCAATAGAAAACAAATTGTCTAATGCTGCCCTTTTGGCAGGTCTGAGTGTTCAGAGAAAATTCCAAATATTAATGGTGGGACTGGTGTGGAAATATTGAAATGTAATCAAAGTAGAGAGAGAGTAATGTGAAAATTATCTGCCCTGACATAGGAAGATTGCATTCATCTGGGGAATATAAAGTAACAAAATAGGAGACTAACACCCAAGAATAGCCAAGATAAGTACCAGGAGATTCACTCCATGGCTTGGAGGCCAGCCACACATGCTAGGGGAAAAGGGAGCTCAGATAGAGAAGGGAGCACCAAATAAAGGGTGTTGGGAGGATCCTCCCAGGATAAGAGATGCATGATGAAAGTAGACTATAGACCGAACATGATTGTCAATCAATGCCTCTTTTGCAAACCACAGCACCCAAAAGAAGAGAGAAAACAAAAGGGAATACCCTGCCACAGGGGTGGGGTGGGATGGGGGATTGGGGGGGAGGGATACTGGGAGCACTGGAGGTGGAGAATGGGCACTGGTGGAAGGATGTGTACTCAATCATTGTATAACTGAAACCCAAGCACAAAAAAATTGTAAGTCTACAACTGTACCACACGGAGTTTCACTAATAAAAATAATTTTTAAAAAATTATCAGCCCCACAGGTAGGGGTAGAGGTGGGATGGGGGGTATACTGGGGTTTTCGGTGGTGGAAAACGTGAACTGGTGAAGGGATGGGTGTTTGATCATTGTATGATGGAGACTGAAACACAAAAGCTTTGTAACTGTTCTCATGGTGATTCAATAAATAAATTTTTAAAAATTATGCTGCTCTACACATTAATCATATATAGTATCTCATAGTGATTCAATAAAAAATTGTCAATAAATCATTGTACCAATCAATATCAAATTGAAAAAAATGAAAAAAGAAAAACTGAGTAGTTTGGACATGAAAGAATTCTATTCTTATTAAAATAATGTAACAAAGGTATGTAGAAAAGTTTCAAACCACTGTGGTCAGATACAAGGAGACAAATATATATAAGCTGAAGATAAATAAGACATTAATCCTGGATCTATAAAGAGCTTAACAGTCTCAAAGGGCATAGATTACCATATAACTGTTCTAATATAAAATGAGGATACTTACATATAGTAAGCTCACCTTTGAAAAAATAAAAATATGAGATTTTCCATCAGTGGTAAAAGGATGTGGAAAAAGTGATCAACTACAGTCTTGAAACTAAAATTACACATTATCAAGGCTGTTACAGAGATGAACAGAATTTGGAATTGTCCAAGAGACACAGGCTTTAACTCTAAGACATTCTAGTTTTTAGTACTATATTCTAATGAATAAATAATCTATTCTCTGTAAAAATTAATCCAAATTGTATCTATAGAATTTTCAGAGTGATAAAATTAGGTATAAGTATGATAGTTTAGCACAGTGCTTCTCATATATAAAACAAACAATAATAGTATGTGCTATTTTTAGTGAGTCAATTCACTTTGTAAATTCCAAAACACTTTAAAAATAAAGCACATCATTTTCTGAAACTTGACAACCAAAAATACATCCGAAATATTTTATGAGATATGAGAAATTTTTTTTCCCTTTATTTTATTTTATTTTTTTTAAAGTTGTAGATTTACAATTTTTTGTGCTTTGGTTTCAATTATACAATGATCAGATACCCATCCCTCCACCAGTGCCCATTTTCCACCACCATGGATAATATCCCTCCCACCCCCATCCCCCCATACCCCTGTCTCTGTGGCAGGGCAATCCCCTGTGTTCTCTCTCTCCTTTTGGGTGTTGTGGTCTGCAAAAGAGGCATTGAGTGGCAAACATGTTCAGTCCATAGTCTACTTTCTACATGCATCTCCCCTCCTGGGAGGATCCTCCAAACATCCTTTATTTGGTGCTCCCTTCTCTATCTGAACAGCCCTTTCCTCTAGGATACCCGGCTGGCCTCTAAGTTATGGAGTAATCCTCCTGATGCTGATCTCAGCTATTCTTGGGTATTAATCGAGATATGAGAAATTTTTTAAATACTCATATCTAAAAGGACTCCTCTTAAAGAGTACTATATTCACATTTAATATTTAAACAAGAGTAAAATTGCTTTTTAAAAATTTTAATGGGAAAAACTGAACTTCAAATTACTCAAATTTATCATATATCTTTATGGGCTGGAGTGATAGCACAGCGGGTAGGGCGTTTGCCTTGCACGCAGCCAACATGGCCGACCCGAGTTCGATTCCTCCGCCCCTCTCAGAGAGCCCGGCAAGCTACTGAGAGTATTGGATATGCCAGACACAGTAACAACAAAGTCTCCAATGGAGACGTTACTGGGCCCGCTCGAGCAAATCATATTTTTCTAATGAAACATATTTGCGAAAACACAAAGCTGCAGACTCACAAATGAATCTCAGAACCAAGCATCCCACTGCAGGGATGTCTCCAGGCCATGTGCGGGGCTGATTCACGGGGCACCTCAGATGGAAGCAGGTGTCCTCTCTCTCCGCCTGCATCAGTTCATGAACCCTGGCAGTCCCAAACCTCCAGAAACCAATCACTGCCACCCTCACAGCTGATTACAGACCTGTCCTGGGACCTCCATACAAGAGACTAATTTGCTGAAAAACCCAAGTATGTGGGACCAGTGGCTGAAAATGCCAGACCTTGTGGAGTTGGGACTGGGCCATCCCTTCCCATCACCCCACCCTCCCAGGCTTCTGGCTGTCACATCCACAAACTGCCTCTGGCTATTTATTTAAGCGCATTAATGTCCATGATCCAGAGACTCATAAATGAATCTCGAAAACGAGCAGCTCACTGCAGGGATGGCTCTGGATCCCAATGATTTAAATTCTTATGATCCCAGGAGCACACGGCTGCTTTTGCAGCTGCACAATTTTTCTTCTTTTCTTTGGTCTTTTTTTGCTGAATCACTGTGAGATAGACCCGTACAGACATTATACTATTCATAACAATATAGAATAAATTATCTAGCATCTGTCTATGGGGCAGACTTGAGTGGTGATGAGACCTCAAAATATTGGTGGTGGGAAGGTGTAATGGTGATGGGATTATAGTTGAAATACTGGATATAATAAATTACCGTGGACAACTGTATGAAATAAAATTTAATTTTTTTAAAAAAAATACAAAGCTGCAAGGTGGCTGCTGCCTCAGAGCTTATAGAAAAGCCAGGTACGAGCCAGCGGTGACAGGGCAACTGCAGTCTCATGGGAAGGGGGGTGGTACCAGCAAGTCCTTCACACCTTACCGAGGTCACCAGTTACCCCCCACGAGCAGTTCTCTGGCACGGCCATAACACCAGACACACAGAAATCAATCTTGTAATTATCTCGCTCTTTGCAAAAATCCAAAATTGTGGCCACGTGACATTACATGATTCTCATAACCAGCTATACAAAACAAAATATTTCACAATGCCTTCCTTTTCAGCAATTCTGATTGTTTGGGGGGAAATTCTAAACAATAATGATGCATCTTTTGTCTAAATAATGAATGTACTCAATGTAGAGAAGAGTTAAGTAGAAATAATCTGCCTCACAGGCATTTGGAGGGGTGGGAGGGGGGTATACTGGGGTTCTTGGTGGTAAAAAATGAGTACTGGTGAAGGGAAAGGTGTTTCATCATTGTATGACTGAGACTTAAACCTGAAAGCTTAGTAACTTTTCCCACAGTGATTCAATAAATAAATATAAAAAGGAAAAAAATTTAAAAAAATTAATGTGGAGTTTATGCCCAATTCAATCAGCTAATCAATGGCTGAATAAATAGCAGTACTACTACAAAAACAAATACAAAGCTGCACCTAAGTCTTACAATTACTTTACAAACACCACAAAACCTACTTTCTCTTCTATTTCTTTTTCAAGTTGTTTCTTAATAGACAAAAGTTCATCTTTAAGGTTTGACAGTTCATTCTCCTAAAGAAAAAACATGAATTTTATAAGAACATTGTTAATTAAAATTTTCTAATTAAAAGATTACTAATTAAATAAAAATTTCATTTAAATTTTTAAAAGTTGGCTTTAATTATTTATCACTAATATGTCTCTCTTCTCAATTTCTTATCTATTCCATCCCTGCTATGACAGTCTTAATGAGGGGCTCCAAACTTATTTGTATAAAGGATCAGTGAGATAATACAGCAGGTAGAGCCTTTGCCTGGATTCAATCCCAAGCACCCCATATGGTTCCCCAAGCACTGCCAGGAGTAATTCCTGAGTGCAGACCCAAGATCATCACCAGGTGTGACCCCCCAAAAATAAAAAAACAAACTTATTTGAAAAGAATTTATAACTTTTCATTTGAAATAAGAGTTCACTACACCATTTAACATATTAATTTTAGTACTACTTAACTACAAGATCTACAAAATATCGCTGACATTTAAGATTCCTTAATTTTACAGCTCAAAAATTATTAACTGTTACTTAAAACTATTCCTTATCATCAGCCATAGTCATAAAAACATTTAATGATCTCACTGGTGGAGGGATGGGTACTCAATCATTGTATAATCAAAAGCCAAGCACAAAAATTTGCAACGCTACAACTGTACCTCCCGGTGTTTCACTAATAAAAAATTTTTAAAAATTTAATGATCTGTTATCTCACCAAAGATGCTTTTACTGATAGCTGTTCTTGTTCTTTGTTTTTATAAACTCCTAATTCTAAGTCTCTTTCTTCAACAATTTTATCATATTGGCACTATATTAAAAGAGAAAACACTTTATTATAGTTTTACAGCCAAAATAGATGATATGCATGAAATATTTTTAGAAAGTGCAATTTATAAATTTGGCTATATATATGACTAAATACACTTTATTCAAAGCATTCTTAATAATCTAAGAGGAGAATGTGAAATAATTCTTTTTAAGAGGAAACACTGAATTTCATAATTTAAAAATAAGCTGTGAAGACCAGAAACTCTTAGAAAAACAGCTGGTTTTATATCTAAGGCATAAAATAAAATATGACTCTTGAACATTTTACATTAATAAAAAGCAAGAAAACTATTAGAAAACATGAAGATCAAATCAAAAGAACTTTACAGTTTACAAAGGTCCCCACTGGCCAAAAATGAATGCTCTAAGAAACAACAAAAAACTTACAGAAAGCACACAGCTGACCTAGGTTCAATTCCCAGCATCCCATGTGGTCCCCCAAGCACCACCAGGAGTAATTCCTGAGTGCAGAGCCAGGGGTAACTCCTGTGCATTGCCAGATGTGACCCAAAAACAAAAAAACTTACAGAAAAAGTGATTATAATTACTTTCATCCATCGTAGATGATAGTACAGATTTCTTCAAGGAAGTGACACCCAAGTTCAACTTGATGTGGTTATAATACAAATTTGGAGACATGGAATTCAAGGATATTCCAGCTATGATTAGTGTTGCACAACCTTCCTTCTCTGACAATTAAGAATGCTATACCTTGATTTCACTATCTTTATGCATAGAGCTCTAATCATTTTTCATTATACAAAGGGAAAATTTACCTTATGTTTTTCCATAAGTGCAACCATTTCAGCTATTTTATGTTGACATCGAATATCCATTTCTTTCTGTAATTTCACTGCTTCATCAGATACTACTTTTGCTTTTTCAACCTATCAAATAAATTTAAAATACTTCTTAAAATTGATGAACTAAAAAGAAAAATTACTTTAAATTGAAGGCCTCATACTTAAGATGTATAAGCCAATATCAGGAAATGAGGAAGTAGATAATACATTACTGCTTGGATTAATTTCAGGGTGCTCTATCAAGTGAGATAATAACATTGCAGTGATAAATCTTTTCAAAATAACTACTACTTAATACATGTGGGGAAAAAAGATGCTGTTAGCTTCTATTGACCCTGTCTGTGACATAAATTATTAATAATCATATTTTAAGTCATGGGGCTGGAGCAATAGCACAGCGGTAGGGCGTTTGCCTTGCATGCAGCCAACATGGCCGACCCAAGTTCGATTCCTCCGCCCCTCTCGGAGAGCCCAGCAAGCTACCGAGAGTATCTCGCCCACACAGCAGAGCCTGGCAAGCTACCCATGATGTATTCGATATGCCAAACAGAGTAACAAGAAAGTCTCCAATGGAGACGTTACTGGGCCCACTCGAGCAAATCGATGAACAACGGGAGGACAGTGAGAGTGACAGTGATTTTAAGTCATGATTTTGATCTTGAAATGGTAGTATATAGTTGTATTATAATAAATTCTCAAACACAGTTTTCCCTACCTCTCCCAAAAGATTTTCTTCTGCTATCTTCTTGTCCTCAATTTCCTTTTGATAGCTGTCAGTCACATCTTTAAATTTTTGTTTGGCATCGTCTAGTTCTAATTCTAATTTACTGATCTTGAAAATAAAGGAAATAATATTAGCAAATGCTGTGGATTACTTGAAAATATTATATATTCATGTTGTGGTTTTATTAATATTAAAATTATTATTCATGGAAAAAATATTATAGAATTTTTATATGTATCATACATAACTAATACTTTTTCACAAAGAAAGAGGTTCTTTCACCCAAAAAGAGGTATTTAGTTTTATTAAGTAATATTTTAGAAGTGGCTATATTTTCACTTTTAAATAAATTTTCATCAAAACTTAAATTGTTTAGTCTGAGTCCAATATATTATATTATAAGAACTATCCACCTTTTTTCTAAAGAAAGAAACATTTTAAACAACTTTAATAAAATTTAAGTTATACATAAAAATGATAATTATCTTACACAATCTGACTACTTTGGACATGTGATTACACCCATGAAATTATTGCCATAATCAAGTCAATTGATATACCCAAAACTTCTGAACGTTTCTAACCTGTTTCCTGCTTTTTTGTGTGTGACTTAAGAATAGTTAACACGTGCTCTAGTCTCTTAACAAAATTTTAAGTGCGCAATATATTGTTGACAACAGTACTCCACTATGTATGGAAGATCTCCAGAAGTAACTTACTTTTTAAATAAAATCTTAAACTTAAAAACTTACATTTTCTTCTGCCTCTGGTTCTGGTAATATCTGCTTCTATAAGTTATTTTAGGTATGTCATTTAAGTTAGTATATTCAGTATTTTTCCTTCTATGATTAGCTCAGCCAAGACCCAGAGACTATAAAACCCAGCTCCCGGCAGAGTCTCCTCCCCCCCGCACCTGGCTGTCCTCGCAGGGGTCCCGTGGATGGGGGCGGGTTGAGTTTCCCTCCCCAACCCGAGCAGAGCTCCGGCAGCCAAAGACCTCCAGAACCAGCCACAACCATGCTGAGACCACTCTCCACACTCATGAAGGTACCGGCAGAGGAACAAAGGCACGCGGGTCCCAGGGCTGAGATCTCCAAGCCTGCTCGGATCGGGGCTGAGCATCCTCCACCCAGATCCTCCATCTTGCAGTAGGCCGGGGTCACACCCAACAACTGGCGCCATGTAATCCCATCAACAGCCAAGACCCAGAGATTATAAAACCCAACTCCCAGAAGCGTGTGACCTCATTTGCAGCCGCGCAACTTCTTATTATCTCATTCTTACTTTGGACAATCTTACTTTGGACATTCTTATTCAGTGCTTGGGGGACCATATGGGATGCTGGGAACCGAACCTGTGTCAGCTGTGTGAAAGGCAAATGCCCTACCCACTGTACTATCACTCTAGCCCTGAAGTGTTTTTACTGGGGGGTATAGTGCTGCCAGCAGGTCAACCTGTACCTGTGGGGTGAGTGCATCAGCAGCCTGATGGTGCTTTTAGACTTCCAGATACCCCAAAATTGCTGCTGTGCCTTTGGCCAGACCCTAACAACCTGAGGCCAAGTTTACCAATAAATCAAATGGCCAAAAGTTAGGTATGTGGGAGACACACCCACAAACCATCTCCGGCTAAGCTATATAAGCTCATTTATAGGGCCTATAGCACAGAGGTAGGTGGGAACCCTTGACTGAGAGTTCCAGGCCCTCTTGGATCAGAACTGGGCCTCCTCCCCCAGTCCCCCAGTTTTCCAGTAGCTTGGCAGTCACACCCACAAACTACCCCCAGAGCCATGTAATCTCACCAATGGCCAAGACCCAGGGACCATAAATTAAAACTCCTGAAAGAGAGTGCCGCAGAATGTGCTGACCCCACGCCAGGCTGTCTTCACTGGAGCACCCCAGAGTGGGGCGGGTGAGAGCCCTCCCTGGCCCAAGGTTACATATGGTAGCCTGCCAGCAGCCAAAAACCTCACCATCACCACAAAGGCTCAAGGCCACTCCTCATGCTTGCAGGCCAAGCCTCACACATGAGTGAAGTCCTACTGAACCCAGGTAATGCAGAACTTTATGATCTTGAACTCTGGGCTCAACAGGACCAGGAGTGAAGATCCTCTGCTCACTTTCCCCAGTCTCCAGTGATACAGGGGTCATGCCCATAAGCCACCTCTTTCCGGCTCCAGATAATCTCGTCATTGGCCACCATCCAGATTACATAGCTGCTTCTCCCAAAAGGGAGCATAACATGAGGCCCCCATAACCATGCCACCGGACTCTGTGCCAGGCTGTTTCACACAGGGCACCCCAGAGGGGGGTGAGTGAGAGCCCTCCCCGCCCCAAGGGACCCAGCTCCAGCAGCCAAAAACCTCCACAACCCAACTGCCACTGCGCTCAAGGCCAATCCCCATGCGCTTGAGCCAAGCCTCACATATGAGTAAACATACTCCTGGACCATGCGGCTGCACATCATAAAACACTCCCTACCCATTCCCCATAATTACCACACCACATTTTAGGGGGTTCAGATAGTAGCCAACAAATCATAGAGGGAAATATATATATGCATATATACGTATTTTCAGATACATATATCAAAGCTCACATCACCCAAACTGTAACAACATGTTAGAGCTATCCTATAGAATGTCTTAATGGCTCCTGCCAAAATATAACAGTCTTCACACAGTTTCCTATATGAACACTTTTTGTAAGCATGTTCAGCAGTTCTCATAACAGACAATACAAAATATATAATTTTGGTTGTATTCTGGGACAGAGATTGGGGTTTGGGATGGAAACATCCCAAATTTGGTGGTGGGAAGGTGTAATGGTGGTGGGATTGGTGTTTGAATATTAAATGTAATCAAACATTGTGAACTAACTTATAAAATTTAAAAAATAATGTTGAGTTTATGCCCAATTCAATCAGCTTACTCAATGGCTGAATAAATAGCAGTGTTCCTACATTATAAAAAAAAAAGTGTTTTTATTATATTCTGTTTACCCAAGTAAAGGACTTGCAAACTTTTTCCTCTATTCTGTAAGTTATCTTTCAATTTCCTGATAGCATCCTTTGATGTTAAAACTATCAAGAATGAAAAGAATCAAGACTAAGCAAGTGTCTTGTATAAAACTGACTTGGGTACAATGCCGGGCACTGAATATGGATCCCCAAGCACTACCAAGAATGCCTGAGTGCAGAGCCAATTGTGGCCTAAAAACCAGCGAGAAAAGAAAGAACCAGTAAAATCTCTCGCGAAGTGGAGTTCATGCCCAATTCAATCAGCCTAATCAATGGCTGAATAAATAGCAATATTACTACATTAAAATAAAATCTCTGAAAAAATTCTAATAGTTGTTTAAAAAAAACACATACTGCTCTTGAAATTTATGTGGAATAATCAGGAGCCATAAGTAGCTGCAATAATATCAATTTATCAATATTTTTAAGCATGGTTGTATATTTTATGTTGTCTAGGAAAGTTTTACCACCATCAGGCCACAAAGATATTACAACATGCATTTCTCATGTACCAATTAACTGTGTGAACATTTCCTTTGTGAACTAAGTTTTGCACATTTTTAAAATTTTAATATTGTGAAATGACAGTACAATAACATTTATGTTCTTAATATTTTTGCTGTACAGTTTATATAATATAGAATCCCATAACTCTCTTATTTTTAGAAAACTGAAGCTCTAAACTTAATCAACAACTCATCATTCTCTACCCTATACAGATAACAACTAGACTTTACTTTTCTAGGTTTAAAACTAAAAAAATAAAGAAAAAAATAATAATCTCAAAAGTTAATAATTTTTAATTATTTTCAAAGTACTATATTAATTGCTATAATATAGAGCTTACAATTCCTATAATCTCATCGGTTAATACTATTAAAATAAAGATTCTGAATACCTTTATCTCGTAAGCATTCAGTTGTTTGGTTTCTGCTGTACCCTTTTTTTTTAAAGCTTTATTCTGTTAAAATAACAAGTTATTTTTAGCACTAATAATTCAAACAATACATCACTGACTTAAATGATAATTACTAAGGGAAAGAAATTTATTCTCTAAAACTACTAAAAGTGATTTTTAGAAAATAGCTCTAAATTAAAGAAACTATAGTACTGCTACACAATGAAACACTACGCAACAGTTAGGAAAAATGAAGTTATGAAATTCGCTTATAAATGGATGGACATGGAGAGTATCATGCTGAATGAAATGAGTCAAAAGGAAAGAGAAAGGCATAGAATGATCGCACTCATTTGTGGGATACAGAAAAACATAATATAATACCACCCAAGGACAGTAGAAACAAGAGCCAGGAGGACTGCTCCACAGTTAGAAGCCTGTCTCAAATGCTAGAGGAGAATGCAGTTGGGATAGAGAAGGAATCACTATGACAAAGACAGTTGGAAATGATCACTCTGGATAAGAACTGTGTACTGAAAATAGGCAAAGGAACAAACATGATAACCTCTCAGTATCTATACTGCAAACCCCAAGATGAGGGGGGGAGGGAGGGAGGGAGGGAGGGAGGGAGGGAAGGAGGGAGGGAGGGAGGGAGGGAGGGAGGGAGGGAGGGAGGGAGGAAGAGAAAAGGAGTAGGGGAGAGGAGGAGAGGGGGAGAGAAGGAGAGAGGGGTAAAGGGGAAAGAGGGGGGAGAGAGGGGGGAGGGAAGGAGGAAGAGGGAGAGAGAGGGAGGTAAAGAGTGAGGAATGGAGGGAGGGATGGGGAGAGAGAGAAAGAGAGAGAGACAGACAGACAGACAGACAGAAGGGGTCCAGGTGACAGAAAAGAAATTAGGGACATTGGTGGTAAGAAATGTGCACTGGTGGAGGGATGGGTTTTGGAATAATGTATGACTGAAACCTGATCATGAACATTTTTGTAACTGTGTATCTCACAGTGATTCAATTAAGAAAGAAAGGAAGAAAGAAAGAAAGAAAGAAAGAAAGAAAGAAAGAAAGAAAGAGAGAGAGAAAGAAAAGAAAAGATGAAACAGCACTCAACTTGAGATTAATCCCTCAGAAATTACTAGAATAAGCTATTAATTTTCACTAAGTACACACCACTCTGCTTTAATAATCAGAAGAGTATGGGTAGCACTGACATTTTCTGGTCAATGTTAAAATATGTGAAAGGCTGAAAAAAATAATTTTGATTTTGAGAATCAATACATACCTCCTGCTGGAGTTCTTCAAGGTTCTTGCTTTTATTTTCAACTTGCTTCCTTAAACTGTTACACTAAAAATTTGTAAGAAATTATTTTATTGGATATTCAATTTTAAGTTCTTAGCTATTTGTTATTGTTTTTTGTTTGGGGAGCACACTCAGCTGAGCTAAGGGATTGCTCTTGACTCTGCACTCAGGAATCAATCCTGGAGGGTTCAGGGGACATATGGGATGCTGGGGAGAGAACCCAGGTCAGCTGTGTGCAAGGAAAGCACCCTTCCCTTTGTATTCTATCTCCAAGCTCACCCCTCATTTTGAGGGGAATTTCACCTGGATACAGATGCAGAATTGAATTAGGTTACAGTTTAACACAGACCTGCCATGCTACACAAGTAGCATAGATTTCTAAAGGGTTCTAAAATATAAGCAATTAATTTATTCTATTTACCATCAAAACAGAAATAAACACCAATAGAAGCAATCTTAACCTCTTCAGAGGCACAAAATGTTCAAATACTTTTAAAACTCATGTGAATCATAGTCAGCTACTATTCTGAAAATTAATAATATATGGCATTACCTCTTGGGGGAGCTGTATGCAAGCTGTGTGTACTCCAGCCTTTGAGCTTCCTTCCCAGCCCATAGCACTATTTCCTATAAGGGTTTTATTTTACCTTAATATGCTCTGTCCCCACAAATAATGTTATTTCCAGAGTGGGGGGGGGGGATTTAAGTCATAAGAAAGCTTAATTTTTAAATTTACGGTATGAGAATATTTTAACTGATTTTTATAGCAATTTGACTGGATATCTGGTAGAATGCCCTATACAAATATTAAAAATGTTTTCTATGATCATAAGTCAATTTTAAGAAAACTATGTGCACAGAAACAAATAATTTTATATTCACCAGAAATATAGATAGGAAAACAGAAGCTAGTAAGCAGAGATCCAAATTTCAAAAATATTTTCTTGAGGACCACCATACAGAAAGTCGATTTTAGGAAAAGCATGTGATGGGGGAATAAAGAGAAGGAAGAAATGAATTGGGATAAGCAGCTAAGTAAAAACACCTCACACAAAGGAAGTATCACTTTCAGAAAACACACTGTTTATAGAACTGGGAGAGATGCCAAAAATGGTTCTTGAAGGAATCAACAGCAGAGGTTTAAAAAAAAAACCCTAAAGACTGAAATCTTAAGTCACTATTATAAGAAATAGACACAATGTGGAATTGAGGTTTAGTTTTTGTTGGTTTTGTTTTGTTTTAGTTTTTCGGTCACACCTTACAAAGCTCAGGACTTACTCCTGGTTCTGCACTCAGGGATACTTCCTGGCAGGGTTTGGAGAACCATATAGAGTGCCAGGGATTGAGGCCAGGTCAACCATGTGCAAGGCAAGCATCCCTACTGATGTACTATTTATCACTCTGGCCCCAGAACTGAGGTTAAAAGAAAGAAATAGGGACCAGAGCAATAGCACAGCAGGTAGAGCATTTGCTTTGCACACTGCTGACCAAAGTTCAATTCCCAGGATCCCATACGGTTCCCTGAGCACTGCCAGGAGTAATTCCTGAGTGCAGAAACAGGAGTAACCCCTGTGCATCACTGTGTATTACCCAAACAAAAAAAAAGGAAGAAAGAGTGAGCTGAAAATATCTAAGGACTAAATGGTACAGAATACTGGTTGGCAGACTGGTGGTGGGCATAGTAGTTAACACACTGTACCCCTAAAACATAAAAAACATTTATACTACTATAAACCAATGTTAACTCAGACAAAAATTATATGAACCAAAATATCTTGCTACTCTAAAAATATTCACAGAAAGTGCACTTACTAAGAATGTAAAATTTTTCCAAAAAAGAAAGAGTTACCTAAGGAGGGGTATAATAAAACTGCTCTTTGAAGCAAAATTTCTGAACTCAGAATTTCTTCAAAAAAGCCTCCAATAAAAATCCTACATTATTCCACAAAGTCTTTAAAGGAGAAAGATTCTATCAGATATATATATATATATATATATATTATTACATCTCCATTCTAAAATATATTTTGCAATTTGACAGTACCTTGTTTTCTAATATCTTCAACTGTTTATCTTTTTTCAAAACTTCACATTCAATGTTTCGGGTCTAAAAAAAATAGTATTTTATACCACGGTAAACAATGTTAACAGATTTTCTATTTTTAGTATATTTTAATACATGTAAATATAAAACTTATTTTTACATTTTGAAACAAGAATAGTTACCAGTCCTCTTTATTTAATTCCCTATCCTTTGTGGGCAGGGAGTGAGGTAGGGGGTGGCACACTCTACATCCTGAAGTGCTCAGGGGCTACTCTTAGGAGCACCTTGGGGGACCATATACTTTGAACCAAAATCTCCCACATACAAAGCAAGAGTTCCACTCATTAAGTTATCTTTCCAGTAGCCCTATCCTATGATTAAAAAAAAAATAAATTGCTCATTCATCCAGGTACCCGCCCAGTGGCAGGGCCGCATCACGGGGCTGTGCATCTAACTAGATCCTCTGAAAATGGCTGGTTTTCACCCATGCTCTGTGGGGGATGGAAATTGAGGGCAAACTGCACAAAACCAAAGCTGCACCGTTCCAGGCACCCTCTCCTCATTCATCCAGGTACCCGCCTGGCGGCAGGGCCCCTTCCCAGTGCCGCGGCCGCATGAGTTATCTTCCCCCTACATATCCCATAGGACCATCAGTTACCCTCTTAGATGGAACTTTCACTAGGTTAGCTTATCCACCAGAAACACACTAACCAATAATTAAGCCCACCTCAATTCATTCTGCATCTCAAGCAGAATAGTAACAGTGACTGTGAAGGTCTAAACCACACCAGTCACAATGGTAAAGCAACTTCTTAAAGAGGCTAGCCCAGAAGATACCAACAGTAATGAAGTGCTAGACAACCTCTCTGACAAAGAATTTAGAAGGGAGCTACTGAGGATGCTTAAGGAGCTAGAAGAAACAATGGAAAGCAATGCCAGTAAAAGACAAGAGGAATTGAAGACAGAAATGAGAACAATGCAAATAAAATTACAAATGGAAATGTCAGACCTGAAAAACCCGGTAGGCAAATTGAAAAACTCAGTGGAAGGCCTCAGCAACAGAGTAACAGCTGCTGAGGACAGAATCAGTGAGCTCGAAGATGAAGTTCAGAGACTCTCCAGAAAAGAGCAGAAAATGAAAAAGCAACTCACAATTCAGGAATAGATGACAAGATCATGATGAAGCCAAGAGGAGTAACATAAGAATTAATGAAGTCCCAGAGGGACAGGAAGAAAACCCTGATGAAGAAGAAACTGTCAAAGACATCACTGCTACGACGTTTCCAGAGCTGAGGAAAACATGCGCCCACATTCTGGAGGCCCGAAGGGTACCAGCAAGAAGAAACCTGAATAAAATTACCCCAAGACACATCCTGGTCAAAAAAAACAAAACATTAGAGACAAAATTCTGAAAGCAGCAAGATCAAAGAAAGAAATTTCCTAAAAAGGAGCATCCTTAACATTAACAGGTGATTTGTCTGATGAAACCCTCATGGCCCGAAAACAGTGGTGGGATATAGTGAGAAAACTCAATGAAATACCTTTATGCCCTACCAAGGTCACCAGTTGCCCCCCACGAGCGGCTCTCCGGCACGGCCAGGGCCCCAGAAGCACAAGGACTTAACGCAGAAAACCAGCCGTTTGGATCAGAAAAGCGAATGGACTATGTGTTAAACCACGCCATCATGCCTGCCCGGAGGGGAAAGGGTGATGCCCCATTCGCCCTCTCCTCTCTGGAAAGAAAGATGGCGGCCGCATGGGAGCCTTGTGGACAGCAGGTTTGAGCCGGGGGTGGGGGCGGCAGGGACCTCATGGGAAGGGGGGTGTTCCGGTCCATCCTTCACGCCCTACCGAGGTCACCAGTTGCCCCCACGAGCGGCTCTCCGTCACGGCCATGACTCCAGAGCACAGAAACCAATCTCTTAACTATCTAATTTTTAATAGAAATACTTCCAGGGTTAATAAGTAAAATAGCAGAAATCCAAAACCGCGCGGCCGCAATAGCAGCCGCGTGACATCATTTAATTCTTAAAACCCAGCTGTAGAAAGCAAATCATTTCACAACGCTTTTTCAGCATGTTTGATTTGGGGGGGGGGGGGGGGTCGTAAACTCTAAATAATAATGGTGCATCTTTTATCGAAACAATGAATCTAGTCAAAGTAGATAGTGTTAACTAGAACTCATCTGCCTCACAGGAATTGGGAGGGGTGGGACGTGGGGTTCTATTGGGGTTCGCGGTTAAAAATAAGTATTGGTAAAGGGAAATGTGTTTGATATTTACATGACTGAGACCTAAACCTGAAAGCTCTGTAACTTTCCCCACAGTGATTCAATAAATAAATAAATTATAAAAAAAAAAAGAAAACTCAATGAAATAAATGCTTCACCAAAAATACTTTACCCAGCAAGACTCTCATTCATAACAGAAGGAACAACACACAGTTTCACAGACAAACAACAGCTCAGGAACTTCAAAGACTCAAAATCATGATTTCAAGAACAACTAAATGGGCTACTTTAAGACAAGACAGACCCCTCAAATACACCAAATTTCGACAGAAAAATGGGACAAAACCCCTAACAATAATCTCTCTCAAAGTCAATGGGCTAAACTCACCAATTAAAAGATACAGAGTGGCAGGATGGATTAGAAAATTGAACCCAACATTCTGCTGCTGCAAGAAACACATCTCAAAAGTCAAAGCAAACACAGGCTCAGAGTCAAAGGCTGGAAAACAATCATACAGGCAAACAACTCCCATAAAAAAGTTGGGGTAGCCATCCTAGTATCAGACCACACTGATTTCAGACTGAAGAAGGTGATAAGAGACAGTGAAGGCCATTTCTTATTGATCAAGGGATCTGTACAACAGGAAGAACTTACAATAATAAATGTATATGCACCTAATGAGGGACCAGCAAAATACTTAAAACAACTACTCATAGACTTGGAGAAAGACATTGATAGCAACACGATACTAATGAGAGACTTCAACACTG